CCGTTAATTGTACTTCGGATTCGAGCTCAGCCTTTCGAATAATCGCGAAATAAACGAAGCACCGTGCTACGCCCTGCACCGTCGAAGGGTATACTTACTTACACAAAAGAAGACGAAAACTGACCAGTCGTGTACATTATTACATTCTACACCACACGCAACACCATTACCATTCATGTACATGTATACATGTACCTGTACCATACGTGAAACACAGGTACGTGTATAAAATATAACGTGTGGTGAGAGAAGCACACACACAGGCAGTGTTGTTCCCATGTATATATATCGCGCTCTGATCTCTCTTCTGTGCTCCTCTTGTGCGCCTCTCTACCTCGGCCCTCTCTCTCTGACCCCGAGAAGAACTGCCCCGAGGGCTCGCATCTTCTCTCGTTTTGCTCACCCGAGCACGTCGGTACAATATTATATTATAAGTATACATAAATACATATACATTCAGTACGCTAAGGTTATTTTGCTATGGTCACTGGACCGCTCGAAGAGGCCGAATAGATCTCGGCGCTTTTCGAAGAAATCGGTAGCTTATATATGTATACTGCTGCTCTTGGGGCTAAGAAACTTGAAATTAGATGAATTGTGCTTAACTTTGATATCGAAACAAATGCTGTTGTGCTCTCCTCGTTGAAACTGATCGATCGCAACGAATAATCCCTTCAAATATCGAAACCGATCTTATACCGATCGATCCAGGACAATCGACCATAGTACACCCATACACTCGCAAACAAACGGATGAATGAACGGACGAAGGAACAAGCACCGTTTTACTGCTGCTGTTGCTCGTATTCAATCGTCATTCATTCAAGATCGGCACGGCCTGCAGTTACTGCAACGGGAGCAAAAAGAGGAGGAGGAGGGAACAAAGTACCAGGACAAATTTCTCCTCCCGCGGATGCTATTGTTATCCACACACACACACACACACACACACACACACACACACACACACACACACACACACACACATATACGCTCACACAAAAAAGACGGGAGAGAAAGCGCGCGACGAGCCAACACCTTCTCCCCGGCCCTCTCTGTGTGTGCCGATTTGCAATTCTTCCTCTCGGTCTTTTATTTGTCCTCCTCCCTGTTCTCTCCGTCCCCGTCTCGCGGAAGGATATAAGGACAGCTGCGAGCAAAACGGAAGATCGGCTGTTGTGCAACCATTACAGTATTCACAGCTCGGCTTCGGTCTCTCGCTCCGTTGCAGTCACAAAAAGCCTAAACGATCCCCCCAATCGTTTGGCTATACTCATCTTTCACGCAGAAAAGTAACATGCATATATAATTATATCCGAGCGTTATACGCTCACACATGCACAGGGTGGGCGTCGAGGAGCTTAGGCCACGAGCCAGTAGTTCTCGCTCTCCTCCTCCTGTAAGTACACACTTACCCACTTCTCTATACTCTAAAATCGAAGCTAGCGTTTCTCCTGTATCATTACACGGAATAGACGCAGCGCACACGCTCGAGAGCTGCTTTTTCACCAGTCCCCTCCGCTAGGTATATAATATATACATATTCGTAAAGTGCAGTGCAAGCGCTCCACGCGACTGTACAATATATACATATGAATACGATTTCGCGGGAGTGTTTCGGAAAACGATCGCAATCGCTCGCTACGGGGATATAATGGCAACAATTTGACGTGGTTGAATCATAATGAACGAGCTATTACATACATATACACGTCTACGATTATTTTACAGTAGTTTGTTTACACGGCAAACGGACATGCATTTTGGATAGCCACGGGGTGTATAAGGATATTCGGGATCGAGAGAATCAAAGTTGCCACGAGAAAACTCGCACGCGGGTTCTTTCGGGACTTTTACATATATATATATATACCGATCTTGAACATAATCGTGTTGCCGCGAGTTGATGATTGTGCGTTACTTCAGGGGTAATTAGGAAAAAAATAATCATGCGGCCGTGCGCAGCATCCACGGAGAGCGCAATCACCGTACGCACATATAAGACCTTTTGACGGTATAGGTGCAGTATACCCATATGCGCCTTGACGCGCCTCGCAAGATTAATGATACTCGAAATTGAGTTCGTTGAATCGGTGTTTGTGCGTGTACGAGCACATGGAAGTGTGAGCGTTGTAGAGGTAATTACGCATTGTGCGCGGATTGTAATGAGTATTTTTCCACGGTACAACAGCGGGTGACCCCCCACAACCCACCGATGCTCCTCTTCTCTTCGCGGTACTCGTCAAGCGCTGTTTATTGGGTCGTTATATGTATACTCGAGGTAAAGGATTTCATCCCTGATTCGGCTGAGCAGAAAATATAACGAAGGCCCGATTGGTCGCGCGTTTAATGAGAACGTACATATAGACGTACGCGAGGAGGAAAAAATTTCCACGTCCCATTGATAGTAGGTGTGTACGTATACCCTCGCATATGGGGATGCCGGCACGTGTATCATTATACTTCTCTTCCAAAAGAGGCACGACGCGTGTTTCGCTCCCGCCCATGGGACCTCGATCGGCTGCACACACACGTAGCGACACAGGAAATTCAACGACTCCGCACAGCGAGCCTATAATAATGGCACTTTGCCTCCGCGAGCCGTTGCATTTTGCGTAAGCGTCGCGATAATTCTCGACCGCGCCGGTCATACTTGCTCCTGCAATGTATCTCCGCTGCCGCGTAATTGCGATCTATAAGCGACCGCACGCGTCGATTTCCTATCGATACGACTACTTTTCTCGCTTGTATGGACTTTCCCTTCTGTTTCTCCTTTTCGTCATATATCAGGCCATATGTGCGTAGATCAATTTCCTCATGTAATACTGTTATCGGCGATTACATTTCCGATTGTCGTAAAAACGCGAACATAACAAAAGAAAAAACAAAAAGAAACCCTACAGTGATGCTCGTCTCGTTCCGCGTAATTGTATTAGACTTCTTTTGGAGCGATGGCAATAAAAAAAAAAAAAAAAAACTAAGAAAAGACCCAATTCGTAAGCAACGGCGCACTCGAGCCGTTAACAAGCTCGTTAACACAAATGAAGTTTTTCCCTGGCGCCAGTGGCTTGTTCTCTCTTTTCTCCCCCTCCCCCGATCTGTCGCGATTGTCTAAACCCGATGCTCCTCCGTGTCATTACCGATTCGACTCGTGTACTGCATGCACACACAGTAGGCCCAGCGTGTTGTGTATATGTTATACCGATGGAGAGGCCCCTCGATTGAGCTACAGAAGAGGGGGGTATCAATCGTCCTCCTCTGCCGCGCCGATGATTCTCGGGAAAGCCGCCCTCGACACCGCGGCCGCCACCTCGGTATGTCCCTCGCTTTCGCTAAATCGGAGCGCGCGTTTTTGTCCCGCCGCGTCGGGGTAATGCGATGCGCATCGATTTGCAATGCAGCCCGTGCGCCGATGCGGCTCGGTGGGTTTTTCGTCGACGACGGCCCCGATGATGCCTCGATGTCCCCTCTAATTGACCGGCGGGTGTCGTCACTCGGTGGAGCCGATCTACGACGATCAACGAGATCGATTCGTTGAATAATTACCAGCTCTTGGCATTTACTCCGTTACACTTTTAAAATGATTTTTTAAGAGATTGATACTGCCACCGTCCGAAAGTAAAAATTGAAAATGAAAAAAAAAAAAAAAACAACGTAACCATTATCTTATACAATAACGTGTATGTTGTACATTATTGGGTTTGCGTCGTTGCATCTGGCATACCTCTCCTCGATGAGACGGAAAAGACGATCCTCGAACTCGTGAAAATACGCCTTCCGCAATGCCCCGTCTCCCGTACCATGCGATCCACACGATCGTACGAGGTACGTGATAAAACGAGAGAGCAATTTTAATTCGAGTACAAGAGGGGCTGAAGCGAAAGACGGCAAGAGTAAAAGGACACTGTGCAAGGGAGGGGGAGATAAGACAAGCCGAACATGTGTCAGAGGTGTCCGCGTAGCCCTTGAAATTTTCGGCCCGAGACAACAGGGCCATCCTTGGGCTCGCAGAGAGAGAATCATATCCGCCCATCGGGGGAGAAAAAACCCTGCTCATCCTCAGCTGGACCGTCTCTCCCTTTTGATCCGCACGCTGTCTCTCCGACATTTATCGCGGCGCTCGCTGCAAGAAACAGGGGACGCGTTCCCACGTGCGTGTTTTTTTCGGCAATGGGTATTTCGCGGCTCTTTACTTTTGATTATTGCTCGCCAAATGCCGGTTGTTGTTGCGTTGGCACAACTCTGCGTACATTTTGCCCAAAAAGATGCTCAGCCGTTGGGATGAAAGGGTGTATGTTTTGCCAGATAGTCGGTGCGATTTCAACGCGAGAGATGTATCATCATCATCTCAGCTCGAACTGTCTTGTTTGTTGGCCCTGAACAAACACGCAATTATATAGGTACTTTTCCGGTATTTTACAGAAATGAGAGATACCATCTCGCGATTTTCTTGAGATAACGTGTAGGCTGTGTTGCATGTACTTTCACCAATCTGTGCGCGTAGTTTACGTACTCGGGAAAATATTATCATCTTCGTTATATTATCCTTCCGTTCTGAAACATGGTCTCGCCCGCCTACGCTGGAGGAACTGTTGGATTTTTTTTTTGTTCCTACTCGTTGAGCCATTAGCTGCGTGGTGTCGAAATCTCGAGGAAAAGTCGCCTCTTTGTTCCAGCCACGATTGCATCTCCTCTTCCTTCCGTGGCACAATAAGCAGACTCGACGGCTCTGTTTTAATCTTGATATGCGCGGAATATTTATTCACGATTCAGCGGAGAAAAACGTGAGCTGCCGATCGTCGTGCTCGTTGCGCACTTACCCATATGGCTTGCTTTTTTATTTTACCGATCCTCGTACTCGGGTGCAATTAAATCGGTTTTTTCATTGAAACTTTGGATTGTAAAGGGGCACAAATAAAATTATGATTTCTCATACAAACAGTTGGGTTTTTAAAAAATTGGTTGCATCTCTATAATGTTTGATTTTTCTCTCATTTCAGGCGAGTCCCGCCAACAACTGCGATCGGTTGGCTCGAGTGCAACGTCTTGGCTCTATAAATTTACGAGGAGGAAAAAAAAAAAAAGACTTCGATGCAACATCAACACCTACAGCTGGGATCTTGTGAATAAAGTGAGTATGTTACAATGCATTGATTGATATTTTTATTTCTGTATTGTATTTTTGCGTTTGTTACAAGATGAACATAAATTGCGTAAACTCCTGGGTTGTGCTATAAGATGAGTACGTATGGCATGAAATTTTGTTTTTTTCCTCTCATCGCTGGCAAGCCATAAGCGAGAGCCGCCATCAAATAAGACTCGAAAAATACGTCTACGAGCTATTTATGAGCAAACTTCTTTTTTTCCATTTTGCCGACCGACCGGACTGCCCGCGGTGAACCGGACCACGACTAATTTGACTAGTAATTCGATTTTTATTCCACCGGTTCCCGAATATTCTCGTTCTCCCTTTTTTTTTTTTTTTTTTTTTTTTTTTACGACCCCCACATTTTTTTCCCGCCGTCCCACATATATTACATTTATATTAAGATTACTCCTTTGCGATTTCCAGCTGCGTAGAGCAGAATCTTCATTAATTATCTCCCTCCTTTTATTTTTTCCAATCAGTTATCGCGATGATCTCTAATGGTTTCAGCATAATTTATCATCCGGATTTATTAAAACCTTCCGACAAAACTTGCGTCTCGATTTGCGTCGCATTAGCGGCACATTACGATACATGTACTTGGCCAATCTTTCGTAAGAGTTTTTTTTTTTTTTTTTTTGTTTCGTGTGCCAATTCACGAATGATGGGTAACAACACGTAGGTACACTAGAAAAATTGAGCCTTCGACTCTCTCAGCATCTTTGATAGCTCATGCGAAATAAGTGTGCCAGTGCCGTATATATATACACGTTTCAATAAAATAACAAGCGCGAGCTACGGATCTCCTGTAACAATCGGGCAAAGAGAAATGGAGGAAGGAAACAACAGAATGATCGACGAAAAAAAAAAAAAAAAAAAAAACACAGCTTCCACTTTATGAGGGGAGAAAAGACAATAAGGCGCGCGCTACATATATGGTTTACCGTAAAGAAGCTCGCGCGTGGGAGAGAAATATCATCGATGTGCGTTACAGAGGTGTGTAGGTATTAAAAAAAAAAAGAACGAGAGAAGAAACAAAGGAGGAGGCGATCATTGGCTTGTCTTTATTATACTTTGCGTGTGGGTTATTTACGTACACTGCACGCGCGTGCCACTGCGCTTTTTTCCTCCCAAACGCCCATCATATTTAATTTTCGAAGGTATTTTTTTTTTTTTTTTTTTTTAAATCTCTTAATTGATTAATAAAAACTCTCTTCTTACGGTTTTTTCGTTCGTTATGTACACATAAGTGGGCAATCGCCGTTATTAACGAGTCTATGTATTTTTTTGTTTTACAAAAATTTCGCAACGTTTTTGTACACGAGCCGGATGCGACCGAGTCGCTGGAGCGCGTAATTGCGGCGCGCTAAAATAAACATAAACATTTTTTGATTCAGCGTATACACACACAGGGCGTTCGTTTTAATTGAGGTGCGCGAAAAAAAGGGGTCGTTAAAACGAAAGTAACGGCCCGAGCGTCGATGTGACTTTTTTTCTTGTTTCGTCGCGTTTTGTGTTTTTTTGCACCACTAGGCCAGGGCTCTTTCAATAAAATTAGCCTATAAAAACATTCGGCCGTAAAATTTTTAATACACGGGATAAATAATATAATTTTCCCTCCCGCGTCCCAGAGTCCGCGTTTGCAAAAAATGACCCAGTGGGTATAGAGCCGAAGCTCGTAAAAACCAAATCGCAGCGAGTAAACAAGAGTGAAATGCAACAACACTACACCGCCCGCGAGTGAATTGCACCTTACACCCATACAGTACAGTACCAGCGTCACCCAGAAAAACGAGGAGGAGGCGAGAGAGGAAGCGGCTCTCGCTGCCGTTACCATCACCGTGTGGGCGCGAGTGGGTGTCTCTTTTCTCGCTGGGCGGCCCGTACGCGAGAGTGACATCATCCACCGGTTTTCGCTCGTGTCAGCTGTACGTATATACCCACACACGCTCGAGCGCGGGGGACATTAAAACGTTGCCGCAATCGACTCCCGCGCGCAGGAAGACTTAGATGGAGCGAAAGACCGAGAGAAATCGGCCAAGCGCGCGCTCGATCGGCTGCCGGTTTTCCCGACACGAGATGCTAATGACTCCGGACCCGCGACTTAACGAGCTTTCCTCCCCCTCCCCCGAAGCCAATATCTCGTCTTCTCAACTGCTGCAGCCTTTTTTCAACGCGCCAAGATTATGGACACGCGTTGTCGCGCCATTGACGACTCTGTGCTTGTATACGTATTCTCTTCCTCCCATGCAGCAATGATCGTTCGGTTTATTGATCGGTACAGCTCGGGGTGGTCCTACGCGTAACGAGGCCTGTACGTATCTCGTCTTCTCTTGGCTCCACTCGTCTGAATAAATGCATTCCATTGCATCGGTATACACCCCCTCTCATCGCGGTATTTTACCATCGGTTGACTCTGCCCTTACATTCATATACACACACCGATGGCTAAGCACGTTGCGACAAGACGGTATACATATATAATAAACGCGTGCGTGGGATCGTGTAGCGGAAGGTAAATTTTAATTTCAAATGCCGAGCGGCCGCAATTCGTGTTTCATGTGTAGATATACATATTTACCAATACCTTTGGCTAAAGAAACGCGGGCGAATATCATATTTACGTTAAATGCCAATCATTAGACGTAAACGCACCGCTGCCGGGAGGGAAGCGGAAACCTAGTACGACGCGTTTAAGGATCGATGGGTGGAAGACATAATCGTGCAGCAATCGCGCGAAAGCCTACGCGACGATTTATTTATCGGTCGTTGCAACCGGAGCAACAGGACGTAGGTGTACACTTAATCGGGAGGAAATCAAATATTTAGAAATCCTTGTTTTTTGCGCGCTGTATTGTTATTATACGGTGCGCCCACTCGTGCGGGACCCCGAAAGGCAGCTCCGAGTAAATCTACGAAATCTTTCACGCGTACGCGGGGCAAAAGGCAGTAAAAGCACAACCAACCGGGTAGTAGTAGTAGTTGGTGGAGGAAGCTCGATTTTCATTACAGATATGGACCGCCGAGCAAATTGCCTTTCGGCGTGTATACCTACCAGCGGCCGGGAAAAGGACCCCTCGGTGATATAGCTCTGATTATACTCGCGTCGTAATCTTACGCTCGTTTCGCTTTATATTTACAATCTGCGTAGATATATATATATATATATATATATGCACTTACGCACTCTCTCTCTGCAGCGAAATCATTTCATACCTCAGCTTGATGTAAGTGCAGCGAAAACATGTGGATGGAGATGATGTTGGAGGACTGCGATCTGATCCTTGAAAATCAGAGGGGCCTATGTTTTATTGCCGTTTCATTTTTATACATTTTTCTTTCTCAAACCAAAGTGAGCATTCGAATTTGAAAGAGAACAGACTAAATAGAATGTAATCCATACGGTAGAGAGACAGAGCGAGGGAGAGAGCGTCCTTGACGCGACAATGGTCGATTCATGATTTCACGCGCTCGGTTGAGCGCTAATACGCCACAGCTACCGCGATTCAGCAAAGGGATCGGATGTCCGAGCTGGCTCTCCCCCTCGGCTCCGTACAACCATTTATCTTGGTAACATTTTTCGTTATTGCAAACGTACATATATGTAATGATCTCGACTATGGGTATCGCAACGATCGCGTGTCTCGTGGGCCTCTGATAAATGCCGAGCTAAAAGCAAATGACCGTTCCATGGGAAGAAGAAAGTAATATGCGCAGCGTCAAAATGATTCGGCACGCGACTAACGATGCGAGCACCGGATGGAGCCAAGCAATTAGCTCCTTTATTGATTATATGCGTACTGCAGGGGCCGTTTGTTGGTTTTGCTGTGCCGATTTATCGGTATGAATTAAATATACGATTCAATCGAGACGTTGCAAAACGAGCCGAGGAAATCAAACAGCGAGTGCGTTTTGCCAACTGTGTGAAAAAAGAGGGTAGGAGAAGGTTGCGAGTGTGGCTTACAAGCGAGTAAAAATGCGAGCAATCCCAGCGGCTGTGTACTCCCCTGCGTCTCTCACCGAGTCCCGAGTGGCCGTCGCGTGGAAACCGGCAGGAGGAAGAAAAGCCGCATTCCGCGGAAGCTGGAGAGCAATCGATTTACGGCCGTGGTATCGGTGCTCACTCAATTAGCCCGTACATACGCGCGCAAGGTCGTTACTAGCGCAGCTTCCGATGCTTTTTGCTCCGATCGCAAGTGCGAAGCTTTTTGCGCCCCAAAGGACGTATTTGAGTTTTTGTCTTTGACACGAGCAAAAGGGAGGGGAAAAAAAAAACACTCGAGTGTATAAGCTTTCATGCGGCGTCGACCAGCGCTAAAAACTCGCTCCTTCGCCCAAATAAACGCTTTCAGGCTGCTTATCTCCGCCGTCTCGTGCGTGTTTTTTTTTTTCCTTCCACCTCTGGGCCCTTTTCCCCGGAGTCCCGAGATGCGCAGCTGCGCGTATAATGTGTTTTGCGGCGAAATTTCGTGTTTCACGTGTGCGATGCGCATATACGTATACCTGGGACAAGAGCCTCCTTTTATCGTCGCTGCTAAGAGGATTAGGTTGACGTTAGCCTCGGCGATTTTATCGCCCTTTTTTTTCGACGCCACGCCGACATTATATATTATATCCCATACGATGGATGGGATTAGTCAGGAGCGTCGTATATTAAAAAAAAAAAAAATCGGGGCCGTGCGCGCAAAAATACCAAAAGTCGCACCGACTGGAATTTTTCGCCGATTTTTCTATTTACGAAACTTTTATCGTCGTCATCATCATCGGTGCCGTGTAATGTTTTTTTTTTTGTTTTTTTTTATTGCACAAGAAATTTCGAGAATTAAGCCGAGGGGACTGTAAAAAGTCCTCCGGGGCTTAAGCAAATTTACGAGTGCCAATTGGGAAGTGTAAATGTGCCCCTCGTGACGCGCTTGGATATTACC